TCCTTCCTTCCTTCCTTCCTTCCTTCCTTCCTTCCTTCCTTCCTTCCCTCCCTTCTCCTTCTTCTTTCTTTTTCTTTTTGAGACAGGATTTCTCTGTGCTGTCCTGGAACTCGATTGACCAGGCTGGCCTTGAATTCAGAGATCCTCCTGCCTCTGCCTCAGTTCTCGGACGAAAGAACTGGACACCGCACCAAGATTTATATCATATTTTGCATTTTTTCTCTTTTACTTTCATTTCTCATTGCTGTGATAGAAGTAACTTAAAGATGAAGGATTGGTATCACCTTGTGGTTTGAGAGGGAGCCATCCAGCATGGTGAGGAAACCATATAGAGTTCATGGCTGCAGCGATCTGTGGCTGGGATGCTCCACACCTTGCAAACCAAAGGCTGGAAACAGATGAGAAATGCTGGACTACCAGCCGACCGCCAGCTAAGATGTGTGCCTGAACAGGCCATCTCCCCCACAAAACAGTGCCATCAGTTTGGACAAGTGCTCAAAACCATGAGCCAGGAGGACATTTGACACTCAAATCACAATATTTTATTTTCCAACTGTAGCGACGTTGTGGTTTATTAATGCATTAACTGAGATTTTGCCTTTCCTAAGTGTCCTAATTTTTGAAACATATTTTTTAAATGATACCAACAGCAAAACTTGATGATAACTTTTGTACCAAACATTATTTCCAACTGTGAAAAATGTTGCAGATTTTTTTTATGTAAGCATATTGGTATTTCTTTTTACAATGTTAAGATATATTTAAAGCAATGTTTTCTTATTGTTTGCAACCACTTGCAAAATATTTCAGATTTCTTTTTAGGTCATAAAATGTGCCAAATTGTTTTTACTTTGAAAAGGAAATTGAGATGCCTATTTATATACCCCCTCTGTTCAGAAAAATAAAGTGTCTTTGAGGCAAGGTGTCTTGGATCTCTGGGGAACCGTGGGTTCACTCTATGGCTGGGGATGGCCTCGAATCACTGATCCACCTGCCTCCACCTCCCAAGTGCTGTGATTACAGCCGTGTGCTACCATGCTGGTGAAAACCATCTTTTAAAGCACATAATGTGTGCCAGTGAAATGGCTCAGGGTCTAAGGGTGGTACTGCCAAGCTGATGACCTGCATTTGATCGCTAGGACCCACATGGTGGAAAGAGAATAGATTCCTGAAAGCTGTCCTCTGACCTTCACTTTGTACCCCAACACAAACACATACACACACTTAAAATAAATACATTACATTTTTATTTTTTTTAAACACCAAAAAACTTGGATAGCTAATGTGCTCTCCAACTTAAATACCAACAAAAAAAAAAAAGTCATTAGAAGAGTTAGTTAATCTGTTTACCAACTGTGCTCTGAGTTTTGGCAAAGCAGTCTCATTGAGCCCGTAAAATTGGAAAAACAATACTACTTGTGTTTATGATAATACAGTGACCAGATGTCACTGTCAAGTCTTCAGCAATCCCCTTTCCCTATAGCAGGTACATCTCCCTGCCTGCTTCAGTTCTGCTACAGTGGTTAATTCTGAGAGTCTACCCACCTCCAGATCACAAGAAGTAGCAAATGACCAATGGGCAGTCAGAGGACAACACTGTCTCTCTGCTGAGATCTGACACGGCATCTCCTAGGTACTGTTCTATTTCTGTGAAGAGACATCATGAACAAGGCAACTGGTAGAAGAAAGTTTATCGGGCTTACAGTTCCAGAGGGTTAGAGACCATGACCATGATGGCAGGGAGCATGGCAGCAGGTAAGTGGCCATGGTGTTGGAGCAGTAGCTGAGAGCTCACACACATCCTGATCTGTAAGTAAGAGGCAGAGAGAGAGAGCTAACTGGGAGTGGTAGGGACTTCTGAAACATCAAAGCTAATCCTCAGTAACACATTTCCTCCAACAAGGTCACATCTCGTAATCTTTATTTATCTGAGCCTATGGGGAGGCGTTCTCATTCAAGCCTCCACGGGGCACATGGCCCTACGAGAGAGAGCTAATGTCCTCTTTTAACTTTGCTATATGTTCTTTGGAACAGCAATACTCAAATATAGGTACCTCGGGAGTTGATTGTCCGACCTATTATTAGGAAGGAAATCTCAACTAAAAGTTAAGGTAGTGTTAGGCATAGAGAAGATCTTAATGGGGACACATGTAAGGTCTGATGTACAACTGATTTTCAATTAAGTAATTCTTGCCCTTAAAAAAGGTTCCCTTGATTTGGAGCATGGGGACCTTGGGAGAGGGTTGAAGGGGAGGGGAGAGGCAGGGAGGGGAGCAGAGAAAATTGTAGAGCTCAATAAAAATCAATAAAAAATTTAAAAATAAGGAAAATGTTCCCTTGGATGGGGTATGTGAGCCCCACCCTAACTGAGGAGCTGGTGGCTTCTGGAGGCTGGGGAATGATTTTCTGTAAAGGTCTGTTCCTGTTCTGTTCCCGCTGCAGTAGGTGGCCCTACGGCACAGAGTATGAGCAGGGCAAATTGGGTTCAGTGGGCTTAAACACACACACACACACACACACACACACACACACACACACACACACACACACAC